CCCGGGACCCTCATCCCTGGGCGAACCCGGGACCCTCATCCCTGGGCGCGGGGGAGATGCTGGAACCGCGATCCTGCCCCGTGGATCCCGCGGATCCCGGCTGTGGTCAGGGAAATAACCCCAACCACCCCGGCTGTATCCCCTCAGTCCGGGTTTGGCTCCGGAAAACCACAATACATAGTTTTTTTAACCCAGCTGGCCAACAGGTGACTTCGCACGGTCGCATTTTGGGGAGGGAGAAGCTGCTGCTCGCACGGGGTTCTGCTCTCTCCATCCCTTCCCTCCGAGGGCAGAGCGGACAGACAGCATCTTCCCGAGCTGTTTATCACATCCTCGGGGCCTCCTCTGGCTGCTGGTGATAAATTAATATCTCCGCGTTTGCTGGGAGGGGAGTGGGACCGGCACAAACACTTGCCGGGGACGCGGCAGCGGGATGGGCGCAAAAAGGGCTCAAACAACGTGTCTGTGACATAACAGTTCTCACGACCCCCAAATTCCCGCAGTAAGATGCTAATTGTCGGTATTTTTAACGCTGCTAACGATCGGGAAGTTTTCTGGAGCAGCCAGCCAGACTCCGGGCTGTTCGGTTCATCCCGGCTGCGGAGATGGCTGAGCTACCAAAGTGTTCCAGACACCTCCAGGAGATGTTATCAGGAGCTTAAATTGTGACGGACAAGGTGAAACTCGTTGACACCTGAGCTGGAAGGGGGGAGAGGGGGGGGAAAGAAATAAAGCTGGAGCCTGACACAACATCTTCTGATGGAATCTGAGACAAAGCAGAGCATCCCGAGGGAGTGCAGTTCCCCGCGTGCTCCCTCATTTACAGCTACATTTAAGGGAAAGACAAAGAACAGATCTGCCTGTTCTCTGGGGAACAAACACACTGTGGGCTCGTCATTACAGCAAAATAAACGTTCCCGAGCCATCTCAGCTGAAACAACCCCGAGAAATTTAACCAAACCTCTCCTTTCTTTACCCTTTAGTGCCAGAGAAGTGTTAGATAAAGCAGAATTTTAAGATAATGCAGTAAGAGGGAGAACTAACACAGATGTTTCGGTCATTCCAGAGCATTTCCAGCTGTTTAATGTGCATCACTCAGTGGTGTTATGGAGGACACAGCCATTCCCATATCCTGCCTTGCAAGGGGTGCACTGAGTGTTTGGACACTTTCTGGGAGCTGGATTCGTTAGGTATCCTTTCTTAATTATAGGGAATGCTTGGATTATACATTATATGATTATACATTTTGATTAACCTTTGCCAGAGGCCACAGCTTTTCCCTACACCATAAATCTGAGGGAAAGTTAACTCCTGGTTCTGTCATAAAATTGTGGCCTTTCAGCCTCAGCCTGAGATCCCTCTTTCCCTGGTGCCCAGGGACCCTCAGGAGGTGGGAGCCCCCACCTAATCCAGCACTTGTGACTCCTCAGTCCCTCAGAAGAGGCTCCATTTTAGGCAGGGAACAGTTGGGAAAGGGGTGGATGCAGAGCTGCTCACCCACATCCAGTCCCTCAGAGGGGTTTGGGCCTCTCCCCCTCCCTGCACTGTGGAGATTTGGGAATTGGCACAGGGAGACCTGGGATATTCATCACCCCTGCGTGGGCAGGAGGGTGGAAGGGGAAGAAGAACCTCTGAGATCCCACCCAGAGCTCTGGCATCACCTCAGCCCCACGTTGTCTGGGGGGATGGAGGAGCTCGGGGGATGGAGGAGCTCGGGGGGATGGAGGAGTTTGGGTGATGGAGGAGCTCAGGGGATGGAGGAGCTCGGGGGGATGGAGG